GATGCATGTAAAGAAGGAACAAGGTTTTGATTCCTTGGTTACAGTTGCAACCTTGACTTTTTTATCCCCACCCCCACCTTGTGTGGATACCCCTGGCTAGGACAAAATAAAAATGATTTGAGAGTAAAAATGGGGGATTTAAGTCCTGAAAGGAGACCTGTTTGAAGCCAGCCCTGTATATCGTGCACGTTGTGGCAGAGTAACACTGACAGCGTCTGAGTTAGGTGGAGCAGGTTGGCTGCTGGAACATACTGTCCGTCTTGGCTGGTGACACGCCTGCAGCTGGAAACACCCCAACCTGAGCAATGTGCTGCAGGTGGTTTGTGAGGCGTCTTGCCCCATTCTTTCTCCCCACCTGTAATGCTGATACAGAAAGAAATAAACATGCAATTCTTGTTGTCCTCACCTGGAATTTTGTCATTCCATTTGGCCAATGTCTGCTTTTTTCTGGTGTTACAAAGGTACACGCTAATCTGGATTAATTGGAGTTAGAGGAAGCTGAGGGATATTTTCTGTAGTCAGTCCCCATTCCTTTGAAGCATCTCACTGGGCCTTTGCAGTAATCCTAAATATGACTAATCTTGGTGAATCATTATTTGATCTCCATTTTAAAAAGGGAAATACTCATCAATTGCTTCTTGAATGTACCGTTCCTACAGCGCCTGTCCCTGGAGCATGGGAGGGAACAGGCAGAAACCAGTTTTTTATCGCTTTGGATTGAGAAACCCATTTTGCGTTGGGCTCCTGCGCTACTGAAGTATGAGTTTCATGTTTGGCATTAATAGCTTATGAGGACAGAAATGTGTCTCCCCGGCACTTTTCCCTCACTCAGCATCCCATGTGTAAAGACTGCCTTGTGAACGCTGCCCTTTAAAAAGAACTCTGTTCCAAGATACATTTTGCAGGCCCCATGCATACAGGAGAGTTTATAGTAATGACACAGGAAGCAGTCAATAAACAGCAAGCAAATAAAAACACAGCTGATAAATCCTGATTCAGCTGGCGAATGCCCCAGGGTTTGGCCCTTGCAGATCAACTCTACCAGTTTTTTTGCAAAATTAATAATGGTAGCTCTGGTTTTTTGCTTTTTGTTTTCCTGGAAAAGTCTTACTCCATAAATAGTCCGTTTTAGGGAACTTCCAGGTACAAATCTGATGACAGGCTGAATTGACCCCCACCCAACTCTTTTGATCAAATAACACAGTGTGTTTTCCATTACATTAAGTTGGAGTTCCTTGCAAATTGGGGATTCATTTTATTTGTGTGCAGTGTGGAATGAATCTCATTTTAGCTGGAGAACAGAAAGTCTCTTTCCAGTGGAATTTGATTCTGGGTGACTTCATGGGCATGTCATTTTCTCCAGCGTAGGTTGACCAACCTCATTGGAGAACATATGTTGAAATCCACATAACATCACAGAAACACTGAAGACCTCGGTTGCTGAACTCACAAATTCATGAGTGGGGAGGTTCACAGTCTTCCTTATGCTGCTGACACAGAATATATAATTGGTACTAATGAGTTTTGCTACTTTGCATGTTTATATTAATATTAATCTTAACAAGACCACCTTGCCAGAATGTTGGAAGGGAATTAAGCAAAGGGCCTCCAAACTGTCTGTTTGTCCATCGATTATCAGGATAACACTCCCAAAACATTTTCCCCAAGGTATCCCAAAGAGAGGGTGGCTCAGATGCTGCTGACCACACGATCCTCTTCGTTCTCCTGGCCACGGCAGCTGTTCTGATGGAGTTGCAAAGAATTTCTGGCTGTTCAGACTTTGCCAACCATATTGTTTGTTCCACCCCAATGGAACATCGGGAAAAAGGGGCTAGGAGCTCGGTCTGTCCATCCACCAGGACTTGTGCAATGGAGGTGATGCAGATGGAGTTGGAAAGTGGGCTGGGATCTGCAGAAGTCCAGAAACATTTGCCCGGTTCATCTGTATGGGAAAGACAGTTGGGCAGCGCTCAGAGTTCCTTGGACGCCAATTCTGTGCCTTGAACCTTTGGGTATATCGGGGGATGTCTACGTCAAGATGGTATCCATGACTGTGCAGTTGAAGCCCTGCTCCTTTTTTGACACATGTCGTGACACATTTATATGACCTGATAACAGGGAAGTTTGGTAAATATGACTTTTGTCCCTGAAGTGCAAGTGGTAAGCAGTCTTCCTTTCCAGTACTGGAGCTGAGGTTAATTTTAAGCACTTTATTGTTCAGAATTCAGAAAGAGAGATGAAGAAATTGCCAGCTCTCTGCTGCTATCTAGTGGTGATCCAGGTCTTTGAAGTCCAGATACGATACCTTGACAATGTCCTGTGAAATCTTCTGCCTGACCCGAATACGTCATCTAGAATGGTTTTGTTTTTGCTGCATACTGGTTTATTCACAGGTTGGTTTCCTTCATGGGCTGCTATAGGATGATTCGGTTTACTTCCGAAGGCACTTATCAAGAATCTGTAAGAGATGGCTTCTTTAATTTGTAGGTAGAATGGAATAAACATTACATGTTGGGCCCTTTGGACACACCCGCATTATGGAAACAGAACTCAGTTTGGCATCAGTTGTTTGCAATTCAAGGGCTAAAAACATGGGGTGGTTATTTTTAATTGATATTGCAGCACCTCAGTCATATGCTAATCAAAACTAATTATATATCTGTATGTATTGTGTATGTGAGAGAGTGGCCGGATCTGTTCATATCTTATTAGGCTGTGTAATTTATATTTGTTCACCCACTTGTGTAAATGAAATCCTGTAAATGTAGATTTCTAAATAATCCCCCAGCTGAGACTCCCAGGGATCAAATGCTTATTCAAATAAAGGAAAAAGGTCAAGTCTTCATTGACTAATGGTTGGAAAATAGGTGTCTTTCTAGAAAGACGGGGTTTTTAGAAGAGAAGCTTCTCCAAAAACTGGATTTAGTGTCCTACAGCCCTCTGCTTTTTTGCAGTGCACTTCACCAAATTTATACATTGTCACTATAAGTCTGACTGTTGAGCCAACACAATTGTAATGACCATGGGATCTTGTGGTGACATCTGTCCTTCTTTGCATCCCCAGGACCTGGTGGACTGGAGAAAGCCTCTGCTTTGGCAAGTGGGCCACCTAGGTGAGAAGTACAACGAATGGGTGCACCAGCCAGTGGACCGGCCTATTCGCCTGTTCTATTCGGATTTCATGGAGACCCTCTCCAAGGCAACATGGTAAGGTCCTAAGGTAGGGCAGGAGTCTGCAGCGGGTGCAGGCCAAAGGCCCAGGCCGGCAGAAGTGGGATAAAAAGTAGGTCTGGCCAGGATAAAGCTTAAGTTTCATTTCATGCTACTGAGCTGGCTGGGCTGATCTCAGACTTGGCCCTGGCTAGTATTTGGATAGGGGACCACCAGGTCACTGAGGGCTGCAAAAACTAGACTCAAACTGGAAGTAAAAAAAAAAAAAAAAACAGGAAGAAGTCAGATCACTTTAATCTTGCTGCCATGATCATTGGGAGTCAATGAGATTTAGTTAATGTGAGAGCACCCCATATTTTGAATAGTTACCCCCTTCATTACAAGTCCTGATCTGATCTCATCTGAAGTCTCTGTGCAGATGTGGGGCTTCAGGACGTGCCCTGTATTCTAGGGCCCGCCTGTGAGTCCCGGGGGTGTGCTTTGCACCCATGGGTCCCTAAGTTTCGGCAGGCTGCGTTCAGAAGGCCTAAGACCCCCTAGTCCCTTGAGGGCAGCTCCCAGCCCAGCCCAGCCTCCCCTCCATTCCAACCACCAGATTTGGGGATCAGATCAAATGTGTTGGAGTTCGAATTGCAGGTGGAATTGTGATTCTTAAAGCAAACCACAGCTGCTGAGTGGGGTCTGGCAAAATAGTCTGGATTAGGGATGAATTGTAGAGGAAAGGGTCGTCACCCTCACACTCACAGACTGGTCCTGATCTGACTCAGGGTGGAAGGCCCAGCTTCTGTCTGGGAAAAGCAGAGTCTATCAGGCTATTTATTCCCCCATTTCCCAATCTAATCTGTTGTCTTGAGATCTCCTGTTGGTCTCCCATCCAAGTGCTAACCAGGTCTGAGCCTGTTTAGCTTTTTGAAGATCAGCTCAGGTTGGCTCCTATTTACTTTGTTAAATCATGCAAATGATTGCATGAATACTTTCATGTGCACTTTGGTCCTCAGTTCTCTGATTTTTAGCTAGGAATATGCCTTGCTGACTCTTACAACTTCAAAGGAAAACCCGGGTGCTGTGCAGACCATTTTCCCTTGAGGCTTGGGATGCTCTGAGCGTCCTGCAACATGAGCCCTTAACTCAGCAGTTCCCACAGGTCTCGCATCAGCAAGCACACACCACAGAGAAGCCCAGCCTGGTGCCACGTGTGCCCTGAAGGCCAGTCCCGACAATACAGGTGTTTCCAATTGTTACTTGAGGGCTGCCAGAACTCTGCATTCTGTCAAACTGGAAGAGAGCACACTTCCTGGACCCTGTGATCCTTACACTCCCTGGGTTTAGTAGGGCTGTGCAGTCCTTTGGATTCAGGTAGAATCCAATGGAGCTTGGCAGGAATCCTCCTACCATCCTGGACAAATGGCTCTCCAGTCTTTTCTTGAAAACCACCGATGCAGATGGAACACTTGCCTTGGGCTCATTAAAGTAAGCACATCTTTTTCAGGGTTGGGGGTCTGTTTGCAGGAGCCCTTCCTCGAAGCCCAAATGTTCCTGCCTGTTCTGCAGCCTCTCTTCCTGCTTGCATGCAGAGCATTGCACGCCCCAGGGCTTAGCTGAGACCTCTTGCAGTGATGAGGCCAAATGCCAGGAAAGCAACAGCTGATGATGGCAGAGAAACTCGCCTGCCTTTTTCTCCCACTTCTCATTCAAGCAGATGTAAGAGAATTTGCTTTCACGGTTCTTCCAAAGGAGAGGAGAATTTCGGAGATCCTGTACTCCTTGAACGACCACCACCATCTCTCCCGTGGGGAACAGCCCCCTCAGCTTCCACAAAATCCTGAGGGAAGAGGCCAGGAGAGAAACCTTCTCATTTGGCCTTTTCAGTCATGGTGGTCTTGTTACTGCCTGCAAGGAATCTTCTCCTTGAGAGATTGTGCATGAGTTTCTCCTCCCCATGGAGAAACTCAGGGAAATCATCCGGCCAGTTTCTTTGCCTAATTCAGTGCAGAATCTGAAAAGGCTGCTTCAACCCAGTTCTAACACCAGATTTCAGATTGCAGGATGCATTGTGGATCAAAAACACCCTTGTTTTCTTCTAGGTACGTTGTCTGTATGTTCTGGCTACCAGTGATGTTCCTCCTCAGCTGGCACTGCTACATGACACTTGCCCAAGGCAACACCCAGCTGTTCTCCTCCTTCACATCAGGTGAGGCTGCTGTGCTGGCCAGTGCCTTTTTAAAATAAAATCCGCTCAACACTTGGGTGACCAAGAATGGAGACAGTAGGGGGAATGGGAAGTGCCTCCAGCATGTTCTCCTCCTTACTCCAAGCCCATCCACCCAGTGGCTTTGGAATCCATGTTTGCAAATGTTTAGGAGGCTGATGGTGGTGAATGGAGTCAGCAAAGAGCCAGGCCAGCCTCCCCCTCTGCATCTTGGGCCCAGCTGGATCAGCATGAAGTGCGAGAGCTAAGCCAGCAAAGCCAGCTGTTGGGGCTCCCTTTGCTTCCCACAGAGCATACCATTTTGTCATGGAAAGAGGGCTTCTGAGCATGGAAAGTGTGCTGTGCTTTCACTATTCACCTAAGCCCGGGGTAGTAACCTGCAAATTCCTTGTTTTGTGCCTCTATGGTTAGAATGGCTGAAAATAAGCAGCATGGTTTCCTGCCAATTTGCATTAAAAATGTAGTGCAAAACCTACAATAAAACAGTGGGGTGGGGGGGACTCCCCTGCCCCAATTCAAACAATCAAGGAAAGTGTGTGGCCTGGCCAGTCCCTCTTTGCAATACTGCTTCATCCTCTAAGCCCGCGTTTCCAAGGTTGCCCACTCTCTTTAAAACCTTTGCAACTGATAGCAGGAGGCTGTTAGTCCAGGTGGCTAATGATGGTCAGCAGCTCTTCGACCAGGACTGGAGAGAGCACCTGTTGTCCAAGGTTCTGAGGCCCGGAGACTCAACACAGAGGGAAGCCTGTTGGGCCAGCAGCCTGCATTTCTCTTGCTCCTGTGCTTCCTCACCCTCCGTCACTCTCTCGCCCTTTGGCTCACAGTCCCTGTGCTACAGCCCTGTTTCTCCCTTGTTCTCCACTGGAATGTTTTTCTTGGGTGTGCTGTACCAGCCGAAGCTCTTCCCTGGGGGCAGGAAAGCCTGTTTCCCCTGCCCTTGAAGAGCCACCCTTCAAGCCAAAGACTTCTGCCCTCCAGCTGTTCTCAAGGACAGTCCTGGGTCCCATCTCGGGAGAAGGGTTTTTCTTCCTGAGCTCTTGGAAAGGCTGGGCAAGGAGTAACCTTCTTTATTCCCTGGCGGCTTCTCTCTCCCTGCCTAAAACGCAGATGTGACAAAACTGCCAGGAGACCAGAAAACACTCAACAGTAAAGAACAAAAAGCTCAGGGAAGTATCACCCAACTTTAAAAGAAGCGTGGGTTTACCAAATGAAACCCATCCGAAACGAGCTTCCTAGATGAAAAAGTTTGGCAAAGGGGGGTGAAGGTGCTGCTGTTTGTCTGTGACTGACTCTTCTGAATAAAGGTCCTGCTGGGACACACGCACATATACACATGCACCCTCCCCCATTCCATTTTCATGAGGGATGTTAAGAGCTTTGGGAGGTCCCCATGGGCAGAAGTGGCCCTCTTGATATTGCCATAGCTGATTTCCCACACAGAGAAGCAGAAATGCTGTTCTCAGTCTCCTGCACCCTGATGCCCCCATACCGGGGAAAGACAGACTTTGGGGAGAAAGGAAGAGGGGACTAGGAGGGGCTACACTCCCCCTTTCCTCCCACACCTTGGAAGCTGCTTGATTGGAGGTCCAGATTCCAAGCCCCAAAGGGCCAGTCTTGTCCTGATCTCCAGCGGCAAGCAAACATTTGGGAGAGGAGAGAACCAGGATCACCAGGCTCTCGTCCTGGGTATGGAACAAGGCCAAATTAGCTTTGGGGCCTCCTGCATGGTGGCACCAATGACGGGGCTCAGGACTGAAACGAGGCTAAAGGACAGCCCAGCCAGGCCCTTTGGAGGCAGCGTGGCCCTGGCTGGAGCTGAGGAGCAGAGCCGAAGCAGAGGGGGGGCTCTCACCGCTTTGAGATGGGTGATCACTAAATGGAACCGCCCTCTTTATAAGCAGTCTACCTCTGGCTACCAGAGGCTGGGGGCAAACAGAACGTTGCACTCATGCCCTGCTTCTGGACTTCCCAGAAGAGACTCCTGTCTGCCTGGCTGTTGTTGGAAATAAGAGGCTGGTTTTCACTGGTTTGCGCTCTGCTCCAGAGGACCGTTTTTGCTCACACTGACTTTCTGTTTTCCATCCTCCGTGTAGCCTATGCCATTCCCATTCACAAATACTGGTTCCCATTGCTCTTTCTTATGGGGATATTCACCTGGTCCCTGGTGGAGTATCTCATTCATCGCTTCATCTTCCACATGAATCCTCCTGCCAGCAGCTACTATCTGATTACCTTGCATTTCCTGCTGCACGGCCAGCATCATAAGGTAGGGGGGCAGCGAGAAACTGGTGGGTGGGGGTGGCTTGGGGGGAACACATGTCTTGCACCCCCAAGCTCAGCAGCAGCCCAAGGGGAAGCCCAGCTCAGCAGTTCTGTGCATTGAGGGATGCAGAGCTGTCAGCTGTGCGGAGGACAAGACTGGCTTGGCCCGGTCTCAAGAAGTGTTGTGGTTGAGATTAAACTGCTGTTTGACTTAGGGCAATTCTGCACAAAAGCCTCAGCTGCTGGTTTCCCAAGCTACTCTACCTGTTCCTGAAGCTGACTTAAGAAATTCCAGGCTTGATTGCAGTGGCTGAGACTGCAGCTGATCCATTGTTCCCATTTTTTGTATTTCCGCCTGTGCAGGGAGAGCAAGACCCACCGGGTAGCCCCTGGGGGAGCGCGATCTACCTGGCCTGCTTGTTCCTTCCTACTAGAGCAATGTTTCTCAGCCTTGGCAGCTTTCAGAGGTGTGGACTTCAACTTCCAGAACTCCCCAGCCAGCCTTGAAGCCCACACCTGTGAAAGCTGCCAAGGCTGAGAAACATTGCTCTAGAGTGATCTGGTAGCACCTTTTGCAACTAATTTTATTAAAAGGCATAAGCTTTGATGAGATCATACTATCAACATTCAGTGGAAAAACTGTCCATGCTTATGGCTCAAACTTCTGACATGTTTTGCCCACCCCCACTGCAATTCAGGCACGTTAAGACTCTGCAAGACAGCACCATTCACGTCTCTGCAAAGTTTAATGCATTTGCTTTGCATTTTAATTTCCAAAGCAGAAAAAGGTCAAAAACATTTGGTTCCCACCCACCCCCGTGTCACCACTTCTGTGGAGGATGGGAGGGGGGAAGAGTGCTCCCACCTGGTGAAAAATGGTCCATTTTTGTTTTAGAGAAATCAAGATAAAAAGAGAAGTGGAATTTGTGACAATTCTGGGTTCAGAAATAACCCCAACTGTAGTTGCTATAGGCTTACCAGAAACAAGTGCCAGGAGTGGGGGTGTCAAAAAGTCAAGATTGTGGTCTGCAGGATCAAAGACTGAGCCCTTTTTATGTGTATCACATGAATCAAAAGGCTGGAGTGAGTTTCAATCATGCACCATGGCTGCCATCTTAACAAGAGTGCTCTTAAGATACAGAAGGTTGCCCAAAGCTGTGTCTGCAAATACTTGGGTTTTCGCTGCCCAGCTCTCTTGCCCCAAGTCTGCAGGCTTTGGGGGTCCTTCATGTCAGTTCCTCCAGTCAGACTAGGACGTGAGGGCAGCCAAGCACGTTTTGGAATAATGGAAAAATTAATAACCAAGGAACACCCACCCAAGTTGCCACTGTCCATAAAGGCTGGTCCAAAACATCACCAAGCAAAATTCAAAATAGTCACGCAGCCTGAGAAGCTAGCGAAACAGATGCCTCTTTTGCAGCCGAAGAACACGAGAAATGGGAAGCCCAGTTGTGGCTTAGCACAAGCATCACCTGAAGAAAAATGGTCAGATCCTGTAGCCAGACCAGAAAGTGGGGAAAATCTGAGGACTGCGATGGCAACTTCCTGCCTCGGCCGTCCTTAGAGTCTTGAGATGCCCAGGGAGACTAGCGGCAGGGCTTGGGATGAGCACGTGGGTGCCCTAACACAGCTTCTTTCTCAGCATCGCTCAGCAGCTGCTCCAGCTGCTGACATCTGACTGTGTCCCCTGTCACTCCCTTGCAGTCCCCGTTCGATAGCTCCCGCCTGGTCTTCCCACCTGTGCCAGCCTCCCTGCTTGCTTTACTTTTCTACGTTCTTGCCCGCGTGGTTTGCCCTGGAGTCTTTGGGGTCTCCATCCTGTGCGGAGGGGTCTGTGGCTACCTTATTTATGACATGATGCATTATTACTTGCACTACGGCTCACCCAGAGAAGGCACCTACCTGTACAGACTGAAGATCTATCACAGCAAGCACCATTTTGAACACCAGAATGCAGGTAACGGTGGCCTTTGCCGGGGACACCAGGGAGGGGAGCGGGTTAGGGGTGCAGCTGTGCTCCACATTCCTCTTTCTTTGCTTTCAAGCGTCTTAGCTTCCAGAGTCAGAGGTATGGTAATACTGCTTTCAGACACTGAGCATCTTCTGCTCTGCATGCCGTGTTCTGGGCTTGAACCTAGAAACGTTTCTCCCACCCTCTTCCCCAAAGTGGTTGGCAGTGCTTGGCCTCAAAGCTATTGACCATAGTGGTTTGCAAGCCACAGCTGGATAACTGGATTTAGCTATCTGGGCTTGTTCAAGAAACTCAGCAAGCTCAGTGTACAGATCCCACTTCGAAGACTTCTGTGAAAGATAAGGGAGTCTTCCTGCAGCACTTCCTGCACACCTTGGGGACCTGTTTGCAGCAAGCAGACGTTCTCTGTGTTGTTGTGTTCCCACTCAGAGCATGGAAGCCCCTCCCCCCTTTTGTTCAGAAAAACCAGGAGGTCCCCAGACCCTCCTACTGGGCTGCAGGGAGCAATGGCCATGCTCTGAGTGTGCTCTCAGTTTATGTGATAGACCTGAGTATGGGGAGTTTATTTATTTATTTATATGTCAAATTTATATCACCGCCCAACTCCCCCATGAGGAGGGACTTTGGGTGGTTCACAACAAAACAATTTAAAATCAGTAAAAACATAAATAATCCAAATATAAAATACAATTATAAAATACAGTAAAATCCAAGAGATGGTGATATTATTTCAGCCTATGTCCAGATAATATCGGTCAAAGGTAAGACTAGGGAACCAGCCAACCCCAGAACTGACTATTCCCATCCCCACCCCATGTGTGATGACAAAACCAGGTCTTCAGTTTTTTCTGAAGTCTGAAAGGGAGGGGGCCAACCTCACTTCTGGGGGAAGAGTGTTCGAAAGGGCAGGGGCTGCTGCAGAGAAGGGGTCGCCTCCTGGACCCAGTCAGATGAAATTCTCTTGCAGACGGGGTCCGTAGCATGCCCTCTCTGCATGACCGGGCGGGACAGGTTGAAGTCATGGGGAAGAGGCGGTCCCTCAGGTAACCTGGTCCCATGCTATATAGGGCTTTAAAGGTGATAACCAACACCTTGAATTGGACCCGGAAGCAAACTGGCACCCAATGCAGCTCACAGAGCAAAAGTGTTATATGTGCTGATCTTGATGCCCCTAAAATCGCCCGCGCGGCTGCATTCTGGACCAGTTGAAGTTCTCTGCAATTTGCACACTTTTGCTGGGAGGCAGGAAACCAATCATAGGAAATACACTCTCTGGGTGAAAAAAAGGAAAAGCATCCCTTTACCAATCTTCTTTCATATTTCATGTCCCTAATGCTGATTGTGGGGTGTCCCTAAGTCTGCCTCTCCCAAATGGGCTGGGAACACAGTCCCCTTGGGGCAAACCTGTTAAAGGTCTGAGAGGAGGGCTGGAGGTTCACACCCTGCTTTAACCTGTGTTTAAAACACTGCAGCGCCTCTGCTTCATTTCACCATCTTTTCCCAGCAGGTTAAATGCTCAAGGACCCGACTTACACTGCATGTTCTTTCTTCCTCTCGCCCCTTTTCAGGGTTTGGTATTTCCAGCCGATTCTGGGACCATCCCTTTCAGACGCTGATTCCTGAAGAAACTGCTAAGAAAGATTAGTCTCCGGGGTGCCTGCCTGGCCTGTTGCTGTGTTGATAGTCCTTTGGTGGGACTTTGCAAAGCTGAGGAGCGGGGCTTGCAACAGGACTGTGGCCCAGAGCGGGGAGAGAACTGACTTTCCGTTTCATGCTGCTTTTTGTGGCCTTATTCCTTGGGGTTCTAGGGGGAACAGTGCCTTAAGAGGCCCGGGGCTCTGAAGAAGCAAATGGTGGGGAGAGGGCCAAACTATATCTCAGTGTCATAGTCAGGGACAGGTGCGAGGAGAGAAATCCTGCTCAGCTCTATTTCCAAGCACCCCAAAATTCAGTGGTACCTCTACTTTTTGTAACATAAATGATTGAATGTATACCTATGACATCTAAGGAGATCTTGTGACAGAGCATGACTCACAAGGGGCTCTGGACTCCTAGATATCCTGGTTGCTAGCACGGGTTTTGTGGGTGAGAGAAAGGATGCATGGTGGAACGAGAGGAACTCTGTCAAAACCTTTGGGGTGAGTGTGGATTAGGGATCTGCATGGACCTAGCTTGGTTGCTCTTTGTTGCTCTTTGGAGAACATGGTGGAAAGGGTCAGCCAGGATTCCCAACTCGGTGCTGATCTCTTGGGAGAAGGATGGAGACCCACTTCAGCAGGTATATCAAGCCTGACTGAAAATGGGTTGACTTTACTGTAAATTGGCCAGTTGAAAAGATTCAAATCATGTACTGTGGAATTATACAAAACTAGTGTTCTTACTTTAGCTGGATTCAAAGGCCCAGTAGATTCTGAAGAATCCTCCCCTCCATTCTTGCTGCTTTTCTGGTGGTTGCCATTATGATATTATAAGCCAAGAATGAAAGTGTGTCAAGCAAGGGTAAAAGAAAAGGCAAACTTCCCCTTTCTTCTTTTTTGTCTTCCTGTGCCCTTAATACTTTAGTCTCAAGTGGCACTCCGTAATTGCAGTCACTATCACAGTCTGACTCATATTACCTTTATCTTTTGTTTTGTAAAAGTCACCAATTGCCTGCACTCTTTAATAGTAAGAAAAAACATTCCCACGAAGGTCTGGTTCGTTTGTTTAATTTAATTCCAATTGATTCAAAAGCACTTTCACCCAAAAAATAATCTTTCAAAATAACTGTCCTCTTTATCCGTTTTAAACTTTCTTACATCGACTCCTTGTTAAGCTTTTTGCCAAAGTTTAAAAATCTTTTAAACCTTTCTTTTCCTTTATTCCTTTGCAATCCAGAAAAAGTAATAACTCACCAAGTGGAATTTTTTTATCCTGCCACTCAGAAAAACCTTCTTTAGCTGTAAATTAGTTACAAGAAATGAGGCTCAGCGAACCTTACGTCCGTATAGGCCGCACTATGGCTGTGAGCTTGATTGAAATCCCTTGACTCCCAGCCGCTCAATTCATGTGCCAACTGCAAAAACTTCAATTCCTGCAGTCTACTCATGAGGAGCAGCTTGTCTGGAGTGCAAGTGGACAATCTCACGATCTCTCATTTTTCCAGAGAGACTTCGCTGGCCAGAATTTGCCACTTGGCTACCAATCTCTGCCTCAGTGATAGCTATCCCTCCTCCTTCCAGGGCATCTAGTTAGCCATGAATCCTCACCGGAGGCCCTGGGAATCCAGAGCTGACACACCTTGAGGCTGCTCTGGCAGAGTTGGCTTCAGGGAGAAAGTGCTGCTATGATAAAAGCAGTGTTGTGTGCAAGCTCTGCTCCTTCTGTGTGTGACATCACAATGCATGTAGAAAAGGGATGGACTTTGCACTTTGATGCTGCAGCACTGCTTTGTCAGCCTGACGCCCCTTGACCCCCACCCCCACCATGGAAATTGCTGTGCAGGGGCATTCACAAGAGGGCCAAAATCTGAAGGTGGTGGGTGGGTGTTGCAATTAAAGCCCCACCTCTTGTGGGGTGGACACATACCAAAGGAGTGGGGCTTGATTGTGACACCACACCCACCATGTTACTGATCGTTATCTCCCCTCCGTGGATGTCTCTGGACAATAGGAACCTTCTCTGATGGCATTGCCAAGAGTGTCTCCTTCCACCCTCTCTATCCGGGAGTACTTGATGTCCTATGGGAGCATCCCCAAAGCTTCCCCTTGCACCCTTGCTCGAATTGTGCCCTTATGTTTCCGGAGAAGGGGAATCTGGAACATGCTCTTGTTTGGCATGGCCTGGGCTCTTGTTGCCCTATTGCCAGTGATGTCAAGAACCAGAGGGTTGAATCCTCACTATACTGAGATGGAGGACTGTTGCAGGAGAGTGGAGTTGGAGGGTTCTGGCTCTTCCCCTCTGGGACCAGGATGCTCTCCTGCACCTCTGAGTCCTCCACCCTCAGGCCTTCTCCTGCTGGGAGGGAGAATGGAGTTGCGGCAGTGGGAGGACTTCTGCTGCCCTCTGGTTGCTCTGAAAGAGGCAACGCCCATCATCAGCTGCTCTCCTATCACGGTCATCCCCTTTTGATTCTGCTATAAAAGTTTCCTTTTGCTCTCCTTTGGATTAAATGTCACTGATGAAATGTTTGGGGTGAGTGCAGTTGCCAGCTAGGTTATGTGCCATACAGGACCCTCACATGCTCAAAGGCAGTGAGAAAGTCTTCAGGGACAGATGCCTGAGTTGCACTGATCACGCACATCAATGCGCATCTCAGAATCTCAAGACAGAAAGTAGCTTTTTGGCCTCTGATTAGAGATTCTAACATGCCCAAAAAACTGGGTGTATTTGCAGAAGATATCCAGGTGCAACCATAGGTAAGAAAGTGACCCCACTTATCCTGTGCCAGCCAGTCTGGCAAAATGGCACATGCAAAAAACAGGTGGGGTTTGGTAGCAGCCCTATGAGCTGGTGTGGTGCCATCTTGGTAGTAGCTGTCCATTCATACTTCTGCCTGTTTTATAATTAGCAACCTTTTTTTAAGTTCCATGAATTTAACAAGCAGCAGATGAGTATACATGCACCCCCAACTTGGCAACCGTTCTGGCCTCTGTCTCCTGAGTTTAGAAATCAGGAAGATGGGTTAAATTGAGATTCTTCCTTTGGGTTGACTAAAGTGAACCACTTCCTTTGGGTTGACCAAGGGAACCACATCTAGGGTAATATATAAATTATGACAAATCATAGATAAAAATGGAGGTTAAGGTGCTGCACCTTAATTGTATTTTTATCCCTTTTTAAAGTCCAGGCAAGATGTTAGGGCTACTGTTAACCTAGCTTGGCATTTTGTGTGCTAATTTCATCTTCATTTGATTTACCATTGTGTAGAAACAGCCACAGCAGAAGTTTACAAGTGATTTTTTTAATATGCTAGGAGTCAGGCCATGGTTAAAGAATTTTGTTTTACTGAATTACGATTTACTGAGTTGAATCTGTTTTAGAAGTTCACACAACCCACTGAAACATAATAAACTTAGCACACAGGCTGGGTTTCCACAACCCTCTAAGCTTAATTGTGGTTGGCTAGTTTGAATGTTGACCTATAAGTCAAAGTCCCAGGATCCTTATTTTGGAAACAGTGCTGTGAACTCTCCCAAAGACACATTCTCCAGCCCTGAATTGCTAATTTAGTTATTAGTGAGTTCCTTTTGTGATGTGGTGTAGCAGGAGAGCCCTGTTAGCCTATGGTGGCAAAAAAATTTGGAATCTGGTAGTGCCTTTTCTGATTAACCAACTTTATTACAAGGCCTAGGCTTTCATGAGCTTCTGCCTTTTAATTCAGTTTGTTAGCCAGAAGAGGCACTACCAGACTCCTGATCCTGTGATGACAAATGAGAACTCCACTTGAGCCTGGGAATATTTGCACAGCTCTGATGCAGTTTTGATTTAGATGTGTGAATAATTCACCTTCCGAGGTTCCTGTCAGGCCCAGCCCAAGAACAACAGGGAAACAGCCCAGCCAAGCTCAGTTCTTTTATTGCTTACACCATATAGATGGAATCTTGCCAGACTAAAACTTACTACTATAACCTAGTGGATATACCCTGGGAGATTCTAGGGAGTGGCTATTCTAAATCTCTTCCTCTTTCCACGATCCAGCTCCAGACTGTGTTGTCTCTTGTCTTGCCCCCACTTCCTGGAATGTGCTCCCTCCTTCCTAAGAACCTGCTGCACTCTTGCAGTCCACCACATCACCTCCCGCTTTGTAGACACCTTCCATCACAGCTCCTGATAAGAACAGGAAGAAGGAGGCACACTGGTGCTCTGGATGTCCTGATAGGCCCCAGATCCCCAGATGACATATCTTCTGCTTCTCTCCACTCACATCCCAAAAGCAAGGATGTCTTTTGAATTTTGTGGGGTCAGTGTTAAACATGCACCACTTCTGTTTTATACCAGCACTGTTCCCTGGAAGTGTTTTGAAAAGCTTTCTGGAATTCATCATCTCCAGTGAAAGCCCCTGCAAAGAGATGCCGCTGAGTTCCTCTCCTTTTTCTGTTCTGAATTCCCCATCTTCTAATGTTGACTGCATAAATGCTTTAGAAAAAGAAGAATGATGGTATATCAAACTATAAATACTTGTACATAGGTTACGTATATTTTGAAAATAAAGAAACCTTTTGAAGCCTGTTTATGTGTGGGAGTAGTTCGAGACCGAAATGCTGGGGGTTGAGGTGGTGGGAAATAAAAGAATTTTGCAGTGAACAATGGTTGCATTCAAAGCATACCCATTGCAGTAGCCAGCATGGGCTGATCCCTTTTCCCCAGGACAGGGAGGGTGGGGACAGATGGAGGAAGCATGGAAAAGGAATATATTGCTTTCTATAACTCCTCCAGCTGCAGTAACTATTACAGGTTTCTTCTTGACTGCAGATATCAAGAGCTAAGCCTCATTAGCAGCTTTCTGCATCCAAACACAGCATACAGCCTCTTCAACTCCACGAAAGTTAGCCATCACAATAAGTTGCTGAAGCAAAAATAAGAAGAGGACAGTTCTTGGAGCTCTTCTCAAACCTTGCAGCTTCTTGGAATGTGGCACCAAGCTGCAAGGTTTAAGAAGTGTAGCAGGGCAACCACCTCCCTTCTCTGAAGTTGAGAAAGTGGTAAGCCAGCATTCAGTTTCCCTTTGTAAGAACGCAGCGTTCAGCGCTGAATAAAGACTCTGTGAGACGCAGGCTCGTACGAAAGCAATTTACTCAGGTGTAATGCAGGTGGTTACAAACAA